TCAATCGTTCGTTTGGAAAAGCTCGAACGTCCTTAGGACGTTATCTACCAGATGTGTTTTTGCATCGCGTACACGCACGCCATTCTACAGACTAATAACAAGGATTAATTGGTCGCGCATAGACCGTCGAGGTTAATGATCTATACACGATGACCATTCGATGCTTCCTCTACCGTTCTTCGTCCATTCGCGTCCTTATTTGGACTCTTCATCATTAATCACACTTGTATGCAGCAAAATATCTCTCGCGCTCGCTAAATCTTCGACAAAACGCTCGTTGTTTCAACTCGTTTACGAGTTGATTACGAACTTTAGATCGAATTTTTTGAAGAATTCGCCGATTTAAAAGAAAATTGTTTTGGACAGTTCACGGCGGCTGCACGAAGGTTCTCGTGAATGCGCACGAACGAATCGAGCCACGGTGGTCTCGAATGGTGGCACGGCGAGCTTACCGTACGTATTCTGGGAAAGGGTTGCGGGTGGTCGAGGAGGCACGAGGCGATTCCGCGAATAATCGGCAAGCGTTCCGCCTAGAATTTCGAATTCGCATTCAAGACGCCGCGCCGCGTCGAGAGTGCGGTCGAAAGTGCATCGCGCAACTCGTTGTCCCGTTACTCGAGTGTAACCGTCCACGCTTTACTAGAGTTCATCTTTCGATTTCATAGGCAACCTTATCAACTCGTGCTTCCCGGCTCCGATGCTCTTCGAGAGATGCTCTTCGATGCTCATTTTCCAGTGATCGATTAGGAAATTACAAATTTTTGAAATCGTCGTAGCAAATACCACCTGTCAATCCCGATTTCACGCGCTTGGAATGCAACCAAGTTCGATGTTGGACACGCGCTAGAAATTACTACGCGTTGCACGCGTTCCGAAGTCTGAAAGAGTTTTTAGAAAAATTCGAGCGAAAGCATAATTACTAGGAATAACTGGTTGCGAAGAAGTTTGATCACAGCCAGGTAGTTTAAGCCGGTGGAATAGAAAAATGGTCGGGATGCTTCCTCGTTCGCGTCCATCTAGCTGTCAGCCCCGTTTGCATCCAGCTGCTTTCAAACCTGTTACACATCCTTGTCACGACTCGTCCACGCGTACCGTTTTTACAAATTTGCAAGCGGCCACTTCCCATGAACGGCCACCATAATTGTTGGCCCGTGACACGTACCGAACGTTCAGTGTCCCCGCTGTTCGATCTCGAGCGACACGCTCGATACACGCTACGCGGTTTCGAGAGGACGAGACGTGCCAACGCGTGAATGACTACTCGCTACTTCTTTTTTTCACTCTCGACCACCTGCGTTACGTGAGAAAACTGAAACGACGCCCGCGGCATAACTGTTTCGACCAATTTTCGCTCGTGTAGAGGTGTCGTGAACTGACCCAACAAATATTCGCAAAAATTCGACAACTCTGAATGTAGCGTCGTATAGCCAACGTGCCCTCTACATAAGTAATGGCGTCTTACTTGAGCCAAGGGATCGAACCGGTTGAACGAATAAAAACGACGATCGATAAAGTTCGAAACCGTTGGTAGGAACAAGTTCTAATTGAATTATGTATCGAGCCGATAACGATCATCCGCGGTAAAAGTAACGGTGGCGGCCGCGGACGGTTCGAGTTATTAAATACTCCTGAAAACTGGTATCTGTAATTAACGGGCAATTACTCGCGAGTATAAGCGCGAAACGGCGCGGTGGGGCGCGAGTTCGCGCGATGAGAAACAATAATTAATCGAGCCGCGATTACATCGGAATCGGTATCCCATGGTGTGGAGCGAGGAGAGAACAACGTAGGCGACAAAGTGGTCGAGCCTCTTGAAATCTTAATTAAACGGTAGGATGGAAACGGCCGTGAGAAAAAACGATAGGAGGAGAATCGTAAGAACCTTTACGAGCCTGGATATCATTTCCACCTGCTACCGGTTACGACTCGGCCCACCGGCGAATGTACAGTTAAACCACGACCCGTCCTGAAATATTGCCATGCCATTTTTTCTAGTTATTCGCGCGAGAAGCTAATGGATTGTACGCTGGCTCAGCGTTTAAGCGTCATTACCGTCGAAGCTGAGCGTTATTCGTTTAACGCGTGGCTCGTCTAACGAATGCTTAGCATTCTTATCGAGATGGCAAGCTACCTCCGTATTCGACCTTGGTTTTTGCTCGTCTTTCGAACGCGGTCAAAGAACGTTGAAGAATATGACAAGTATTCCGAAAGTTTTCGGAATCGATTCCGTCATCTTGGAATAGCTGGGCACCTCTTTGTCTCGTATCGAATCGTTTTCCATACGTCGCAATTACGTTAAGAAAGTGCCAACTAAAGGTTTCAACGGATAGCGTGGCAACGGAAGTAACAACCGTTGCTAACATTATGTTTCATACTGCTCACGGATGATTCTTAAAATTGTCAGTATTACTCGCGTAATTTGAAAATAATGAAAGCCGTGTTCCCATCGTGGTAACCGTTGTTCCATAGATAAGAGGATAAGAATGGAAACGAGGAATAAAGTGCGGTTGTTCCGTTACTTACGATGTCTCGGAGCGACCTTGCGGGTCGTACACTCATCGGATAGCGCGATGCTCGTAGATCCAATTTCGCAAAAATGCAGCAGCTTGCATCGCGAACAAATACCAAAGACACGTTCTTCGGCCGTCGTTTGTAACCGGTAATTTGCTCGCGTTCGACCTTTGGAACTTTCAAACTTTGAGAAACGATACGTTACGAACAAAATGATAAGGAAAGCGTAAAGAAACGATTAAAAGATCTCAGAATACGAGTGAAAGGGCATAATGGCTATAACTTGCATTTCAGATTCCGCGAACTTGCTCTTACACGACCACGTAAATTTGTAAGAAGTCCCGAAGGAAAAGCGTAGTTTGCAAGGAGCGCAACGGTACGATGCGTCAGCTGTCAGAAGCTTCGTAGAAGAATCGCGGGCAGAATCGATATTTCTTCGTTGGTCGAAAGACCCGCTTTCAAACGGAGGACAACCGTTAGAGCAAATCTATAAGCATATTTTCACGGACCGTTCGGTGGAATGCTCGTCGAATGCGTGGACGATTATGCGAAGGGGAACGAGAAAATTGCATCGGTTATGTCAAGTATGTTATGTACTCTCGCAAAGATCGTCGCGGACGCCTCGTGCAATTAGTTAGAAACGAACATTAATCGAAGTTCAACGGTATCGAAACGCGTGAAGCAGCATTATCTTTCCACGCGTAGTTACGATCGTTGATCGGAGCTTGCTTAATGTCATCTGATCGAACACGATTTTACCGAGCTTCGGTTTACTGTTCGTTGACCCAGACACGTCGCCGCGCCACCTCTAAACTCACCGTATCGAATCGATCTTCGATTAATCGACCTGCTACGTGTTATTCGATAATTGAAATTAGTCGTCTCGTTCGTTAGCTTCGTTTCCACGAGACGTTGAAAAATATTCTCCTTTTTTCGAGTCGTACGTTCGACAGCTCACGCGAGTCGAGTTCGATTTAATTTTCGACGATTCTACGAATATGTATCTACCCTCTTTCCGGATACGATTCCCGAGGCGTCAAACAGTATCGACCGTGACAATTTATTCGTTTTTCCAATACGAAGAAACGAAGCAAAGTGGCGAACCGAGTTTCAAGTTAATTAGCGTTTCAGCTCCTTCCGTTGGTTTCGCGCTTGGAGCAAGCGCGAGCCGCGATGGAAACGAGAAGCGAAACGAGCGGCCGCAGGTCGACTTCTGCACGTCATTAACGCACGCACTCGCGGTGCACGCTATTCCACGGATAGCACTCGCGGCCAGACGTGGGATCATGCGATTAAAACGAGCCTAGCTAATTGCTAACATCGCGACTGCGGCGTAAATTTCGACCCTCACCTCGAACTCGCGCTGTCAAGGACGAGAATGATTGGTACAACCGCGTGCGAACCCCTTCATCGAGAAGAATTCTCGACAACGCTATGATTTTCTCTTCCGTTTGCCATGCTTACCAAACTCTATCTGCACTGGCTTAAATTACTTCTTTTTCGTATCGGACGCAAGCCGCGAAACGGGCATTTTCTTAACGGAAGATTACGTGCATGGAAATTCATCGATCAACGGGGCGATCGGGCGAAGAAATCGCGTGATTAACCGTCACCGGAGGTGGTTAAGGAAAACCGCTTAACCGTAACTGAGGTAACCGCGATTAACGACGATCGTTAATCAGTTGCGCATTTTTCTACCTTCCGTTTTTTCCTTCCTGACTGTCAAAGACACGCGAAGCGATACTCCGCGTACGTTTGTGGGTGTATTCGTAGAAATCGCGACAAGGATAGCTGGCGGACCATAGCCTAGGCTGAAAGAAAGAGGAAGGGAGTGATCATAAATCTGTATAATTGACAAGTCCCGCAGAAGATGTTCATGCTCCATAGATGCTTGGGCAGATAGCTCGCTAATAACGCAGCACGTGATGTACGAACATACATAATGGCCGTTGAATAAAAATCGTACGGCGACTTTAGCGGAATTCGAAAACGTTGGCTTTGCAGCGGTGCACTCTTCGATCGCTACCACCTTCAAATTCGTACAACGCTACCGCCTATTACTTTTCATCGTCCTTTTGCTCTTGTTTCCGATGTAACATGATACAATTGCCTGCTTGTCGATATTTAATGTAAATGTCATCTTTCTGCAACGAAATGGTTATAAAATTTATAAGATTTTCTAAGCGATTCATTGAATATTGAATCGTTATCTGAAAAAAATGGCGCTATCGTTTATCTTGTTTGATTGATAATTGTACTCGTTTCAGAGATACATTTCAAAATATCTTATATAATAGTCGAACAGTCGTAAATTGACTTTTCGTAAGTAAAGAAGGTTACACTCTCGTAGCTTAAATGTGGTACATAAGATTTTAATTGTTTTTATTCGTTTCGATAGTATGAAACTGGATAGTTAGTGCTTACTAATGCACTGACAAATGCTGGAGGGTTAAGCGTACATCTTAAGTGGTCAGCGATAGCGGTACTAAAGTGATAACGGTTGCAAGAAGCGTTTAAATATACTTTTGTGGAATACTTCATTCGATTGCAGTCAATCTGCCGAGTCAGAGTGTTCGCTCCCGAATCGGCTCAACGATGTCGTCGACGATACTGACATGTATTGTTTTCTCGTTTATTACACTGTATTGCACAACCGTTACAGGAAGACACATACACAAATCTGCGGAAAACAACAGGCCTATCATAGGTATGTATCAACTGGCACATATTTATAACACGAGTTATACATTGAATTATCGTAGGACAATAGATAAGATTTATTATAACACGAAAGTAAATATATGTTACGGTGAAAGACCGAAATTGGAGAATGCCGACATTCACCAGATTTCGGTCTTTCACCGTAACATATATATTACCTAATGAAATGTTTCACAGCTTCGAACAGTCGAAGCGTCAAATAATCTGCAAGTATGTTACAGCAGTTACTTTTCGCTTGTTATTTATCATGATAGCTAAGGATACTTATAGTCAAATTTTCGCCGTATTTCTTCTTTCGAAGGTATACTAACGCAAGAACTAAGCTATAGTCAAAAGGCAAAGTATGGGTCGCACTACGATAGCTACATTGCTGCATCGTACGTAAAGTTCGTAGAAGGAGCTGGTGCAAGAGCTATTCCAATTTGGTAAATAACTAGTTTACAATATGTAGTAATATACGATAGTATTAGATAACGTTTAATATCGCGAGAAAGATTTCCACGTTTCTTTCTTCTTTTAGGATCGGAATGCCGGAAGTGTACTACGAGGAAATCATGAGTGAAATTAATGGGTGCGTTAGATATCGAATAAATTTTAGAACACGATTTCTTTCTTAAATTCAACTATATTTTTCAATATTTTCGACAGAGTTTTATTACCTGGTGGTGGGGCAGCGTTTAATCGAGCCAATGGATATGGGGCAGCTGGGAACCATATTTATAAGTAACAAAATTAATATGCACATTAGGGAATGATATATCTTCAATCTTTCCGATTGCAGGATCGCAACGAGGATGAATAAAAACGACGAGTACTTTCCAATTTTAGGTATATGTTTGGGATTTGAATTTTTAACGTACGTTGCTGCGAAGGGTAACGACCCTAGGATACCGTGCAGTAGCAGTAGTCAACCGCTTCAGCTTGAATTCGAACCAGGTAATCGTGTAACTCGAATTCAACGTTAAATGTTCCCTTGTTACCGAGTGTTTTTATTCTTGCTCTCGTTTACATTTTAGGTTTTAATAATAGCAGACTGTTCGGAAACGCTCCCAAGGATATTCTAGAAATACTAGAAAACGAAAAAGTGACTGCTAATTTTCACCGTCAGTGCGTGACGAAACAGGTACATCTCATTCGTTGAATATCTATTTAAAAGTCATGTACGTTTTTCTGTATAAGTAACGAAGCGATGTATTATAGGGCTTAAAAACAGCTTCCATAAACAACGTATTTCGGGTATTATCTGTAAACAGTGACACAAACGGTATTTCGTTCATTTCATCGTTGGAACACGTTACTTTTCCCTTTTACGGGTTACAATTTCATCCCGAGAAAAATTTATACGAATGGGTAACCGGCAAACGTATTCCACACGGAGATCACCCGACTCAATCTTCGCGATACTTTGCCGAATTTTTCGTTAACGAAGGTACGTACACGCACACTGTCGGTGAAAATATAGGACCAGTTATCGAATAACTAATTAACGTTTCTACGCAGCACGCAAGAGCGCTCACAGATTTGCCAACAAGGAAAGAGAGCAATCGCTTTTGATCTATAACTACGAACCAACTTATACAGGACGGAATTCCTCGTTTGAGCAAATTTATTTGTTTGCTTTAACGTATGGTTTAACCTATTAAGATAATCTTTATATTCCGTTTCGTTATACGAGATATTGGGAAATAGGTAAAATATAAATTAGAACATTTGAAATTGAATTCTGAATTTGAAGATCTCAGAGTTCTTATGTCTGAAATTGTTGGCTTCCCAAATTCCAAGCCGTCGGTGTTCATAATCTATCCTGAAATTGTTAAACCTCGATAAATAGCTAGCAGCTACATTATCTTGAGAAAGTCAGATTTGTCGTTGACTGTACTTACATAGGTGACTCGTATGAAAATCCCAGCAGTGAACACGGGGTCGCGGGACGACAGCTGCTAACTCGTAAACAAATAAAATTGACGGGACACCGTGGTGGGACTGTGGTTGAAAATTATCGTCAGCTCGTACAGCCAGCCAACCAGCCAGCGGTAATTTAATTTCAGATCAAAGATCTAGCGGTGTCTCGGAGGAAGAAGCTGGCTTCCAAAGCGTACAACGTTGCTCGTGGCCGGAAAGAGTCCTTGTAAAATTATGTACCTGTCCATTAGGCCAGACACTTAACTCAGCCTTCTATACACACGCATAATTTCCATGCAACTCGCACCCCTCGCGGTTACCCGACCAACGGCGCAATAATTTCATTCAAGATCAGCTTTCTTATTTCCGTTCGAGGGATAACTTGTTCGTTTCGATGAATTTCCTTTGCTCGACGCTACAGAATGTTCTACGAGGCTCGTACGTCGATTGGTTAGAATTGCTTCCGTTGCGACTCCCCTAACTTTGTTTCACATTCTGCGAGAAAAGACTATAATCGAGTAAGCTTCGATCGTAAAATTCAACGGCCTCGTTTTTGCAATGACATCCTGTCAGATAATCTCGCTTATTAAGCTTCGAACTCATATGCTATACTTTCGGGCCATCGAATCGCATCATACTTTAGACTTTTCCAAATTATTCGTTTCAATGACGAGCGCACTTACGGACACCAGTAATTTATAAACATTATACTCGTCCGGTAATCGAGATGAGTTAACAGTTAACGTTACAATGGTCGAAGCTATAAAAAAAGGGCTCGAAATTTCTGATTTAATTTTCAATCCGCGTTTACTGATCTTTTCGATTCGTTTTCGACTTTAAAGCGATTTCGTTCGAAGCCTCGACCGGCATAACCAGATTATCGTAGACTCGGTTGCAACGTAAATTTCCTTCAGATAAGAACACGGCGATGTCCTCGAGTAGACCGGTGACATTTCGGCGTCGATTCGTTCGTTTACTCTCGATTCGTTAATGGAAAGCGATAACACGACGAATGAGCGGTTCGCATCCTTGTTCTAGCCGGAATCCGCAAGGATGTGCTCGATGGCGTGAATGTAACTGTACCGCGATCAACGCCGTTCCACATAACAACGCTCGAGAGCTCGTCGAGTTCCGATGGTAGGCAAGATAGCTCTTTGCTGATCGTTTTGTCGACTGTGACCAGGTCCGCGATTAGGTCCGTAGTCCGTTGGCTGCAATTGGTACCACCTACCAAGCCGAGGATGCATTGCCGTGTACACGAAGAACACGTTGCTCTCGTATTTTTTTTCTGGCCAGATAAAAGCTTGGTCAGCAATCGAGTCTCGGACATGGACACGTTTTCGATTCTACCCTTCTACTCTCTTCCCTGCGGTCACGACCGATTAATCTTCGGTTATTTCGGATCGGCGAACACGACCTGCAGCTACCGGACATTCTCTTCGACGCTTCTCTTCTTCACGGTTTCAATTATTTTCACGATTTCTTCGAGTTGCTCGCGTTAGTTCGTCACGGATCGCGAACAAAACATTTCGTTTCTACAGAATATTTTCGATAACTTTCTTGAAAATAATATGCGAGGAAATTTTGAACGTGACCGATGGAGTATGCTCGTAATCGGAACATCGCGAAAGAAGCGTAACGAGCAGACCCAGATTCGCGCGCACACGCATGTAAATTCAAGGCCATCGAGCTGGCGCGGCGTCTATCGAAACTCGAGCGTGCATGTTCCGATCGATATCGGACGTCCGATTTCGATGGCCTCGATAAATCGTTTACGGTTGTTACGATAACGGTTACGAGGATTGTCGAGCGACCGTCTTGAAGTTTGATCGCGTTCAAATATTTTTTCAACGTACCTAGTTTCGATGACACGAAACTATTTGTAGCGCGAATGCTTACAGTTGGAACTAACAGACGGAATAATATTTGATCGAATCGAGAGCGAAACGTTAGCGCGGACTTAGTCCCATCCAGTGGGAATCGATGGCGTTTGCTCGTAAGCGAAAAGACGAACGACGCGCGTTAATTGGAGCAGCACGAGACGGGGGTCAATGTAATGGAATCTCGGGGTTGGGAACGCGACGATGGACACCGTATAAATTACAGACAGAGTACGGTCGTTCTTCTGGCTCCCATTAAAGTTGCAAACGATAATGGGCATCTCGTTACGCGTCATAGAAGATTGCCCTTACTACGTGGCTCGTTACGCTTAATCGAACAGAAAAAATTGTCGAGAAACATCAAGGTTGTGGATGAAATTACGGGGTAGATGAATTTTCTGTTCGAATATTTTTATCGAGTCGATTCGAATCTGGGCAACTCCGTACCCCAGGGTAGTTACGACTCCATTCTCGAATCGCTTTTGTTACGCGAATAACGGGTTGCGATATTAACAGAAATTTATTGCCTTTGCGATAATTGTCGTTATCAAGGTCGTCAGACAACGAAAACGAAGCCACAGATATCACCGATCGAGAAAGAAGCGATTGCGAGTAAATTCTCCGATGCTCTAATTCGATTCGGATCTCGCGGTTGTCCGCATTCCAGTGGCCACTCTTTTCTTTGCCCGTATACTACTAAATGCTGACCACGAATTTCCGGATCGGCGGCCACGAGGCGTGTCTCTTTCATCCAGGCGTGAAGCGGCAGCACAGAACGAAAAAATGGACCGCGACGAAGAGGAGAGAGAAAACGGCCTTAGAATCTTGTAGGATTTAGCTCCGATGGACCGCGTAATCACGACATTCTTCGATTACATAGGGAAACGTCTTACCCGTACCCCGTGTAGATACGAAGAATTCGGCGAATTTCCATGATCGATTTTTAATCGGAAACCCATCCATAGAAAGGGCGGAGCTATCAAAGAAAACTTGCCGATTCGCGGGACGTTAATTTGGCATAACTATGCGCGATTACGTTATCCACGAGCTGGAGGGATATCGTCGACTTGGCTGAAGGACCAGTTGTCGGATATTAAATCACGCGATGTCGTAATCCGTACAGATGCATCTGTTAGTGGCATCTACATCCGTTGAACAGCGTCGATAGCCACGCGACAGTGTTCTCGACTGGTTTCGCGGGAATTCTACTGGTATCTTGATCCACGAAACCACGAGACAAGCAAGGAAGCAGTCGTCGCCTTTGGTGTTTGGTGACAGCAACGGTACATCCTGCCCACGAGCTTCGTTACGCTACACGAAGGCGACGACGAATAGATCGAGTCCACCGCCACCTCGAGCAGATCCACTCGCTCGACGAATCGAGCACGATCCGAAGAACCGCCTTAATTTTCCGCGAATTTATTTCCACCTGGTAACCTAAGCGGCTACACAACGCGAGAACGTTCGAAGATGCATGAAAATAGTTTGCTCGAAGGATTAAGATGTCGAAGCTTACAAAAAATGCGTCGCGATGAATCGTTGCGTTGGCTTCTCTATTAAAAATCGAAGAGGCCAAAAGTCTCGAAAAGAAACAACAGGAGGTTTAATAAGCATTGTCAGAGAAGATTTTTTTCTCGATTGCAGGGAGAACAAAGCGATCGAACAAGATACGAGGAAGAAACTCGATGCAACGTACAAGTAAAAGCCTCCACTCGCGTCTTGTTCTTTTTCTTCTTCTCGCTCTTGTTCCACGTGGTTCTCCGCGGTAATAGCCATCCACGTACCGGAAGGTCGACCGGGTAATGTCTCATAAATTGCCAGAGATTAATCCGACTTGCATACGCGTGTACGAGCATATGTCGACTCCAGGGTCCATGACCAGGAGTCAGGTGCAACGAGAACGGGTCTTTGTAAATCTCTGTGGTTCGAGGTTGTCTCTAACGAGGGAACTCGTAAACTTGGACGAGTATTTACTCGACCAAATTTTGACTAAAGCAAGTTTAAACTCTTTCGAATATTCTGCATACGGTAAATTCTTTAACGAACGCGTTGTAAAATAAGTTAAAGTTGTTTAAACAAAGAAATCGTAACGCAGAGGAAGAGAGGAATTATCAAGTATTTCGGAACACAAAGAAACGAGTAGCGGTATCGTTGGTTGGTTCAGCTGGTTTCTGTGTCAGTTTTCGGTGGTCTGACCAGATTCTTCCGGCCTATGCACGCACGACCATGAATTCCCCACGATTCCAGTACATTAACCACGATGAACGCGTATTCCCTCCAAGTTTATAGTCAGACCAGCCATCATCTCCCACCGTGTGCAACCGTCATCTTCGCTAATGCTGGCAAAAGGAAGAAAACTCGGAGGAGCAGCGGATGCGCGATGCATAGTGGCGAGGAAACGACGACGAAAAAGAAGAAATCACGATCTGATGCAGATCTTATTAGCGAGTACCGTTCGTTGCTGGCGTTGGTGTTGTTGCTCACAGGAAATTGACCGAACATACTTTGCGTTTCGCGAATATTTCAACGCTGCTTAGGAACTGCCAAAATCGTGTCTTAACCATGCCGTATCGTTAATCAAAGAAGGAATAGTTTTAGTTTTGTACCTTTTAAGCGAGCTTGGAAATTCCTGCGTACCGTCTATGGAACTCGAAACGGATTAGTTCTCTCTAGGGTGTCCCGAAATAACGGGTAGTTACGGACAGTGCAGTAATCGATTCGCTGTTTTCGAAGCTCCAGAGGTGCTTTGTCATTCCTACGATTCTTTTTCGCGAAATAATCATTATTAACTATGACCAATTGTACGCGTAAATCGTAAAGCGACATAATCGTGGTTAGGTTAGATGCGCGCAAAAAAAGAAAAAATATTTGCAAGTTTCGCACGGAAAGCTTCCGCGCTACGTTGCAACTTCTTTTTCTTAGCGGCAAATCACTCGATT